TGCTCCAGGGCGTCAAGCACAGGCCTCAATTTTATCCAGAGAGTATTGTTTCGCCCATATCTTTTTGCGATCATATATATTTTGAGTGTTGTTCCACCCGTAGCGTTATTTTTGCGATCACGAGGATTCTGCTCAGAGAGATGGGAATTTGAATTTTATTTGATATAGTAGAATTAAAGGAATTAGACTAAGTGTCACATGTACGAAGACATGTTAGGATGCAGTCTGTGTTTCATCCCTTAGCTGTAAATACAGACTGAATTTTGCATGCGTGCAGCAGTGGAAATCATCAGAATAGCCTCCTACTCACCATGTTATGAACATTCATGCAACTAATTTTTAAGGTGAGTACAAAAAGGAACTGTGAAAAAGAGAGAACAGAGAGAGAGACAGGCCTAGCTGGCGGGCAGTGATTTCGAGCTCTATGAAATGTTAGCGGTATACTTCATACGCCTCAAGTTTTCGTGTTTGAAATGCGCTTTGTAAATCAAGATCAGGTCCGGGACATTCACTGCGCAAAATTCCATGAAATATTTGATTATCTAGCATACTAAAAATTGGAAGTTTAGGAAAATGGTTGTCGCAGTTCTTATGCTAGTATTGTTGGTATTGATGGTTCCAACGAGTTCTCAAGGTTTTAGATTGATTGATTGCGTTTTCTCCAAATTAATAGTTGCTTGACATTCTTAAATCGTAAAAACTTTAGAAATTTACTTAATTTAGCCCCTAAACTTCCAAACTTTCAATCAGATCGATGCTGAAAGTAAGTAATGTTTCAGGTCCGCCACCAGGAGCCCAGATCAGCCCTCCAAGGCCTCCACATATTGCGATTGACCCTCCGCGTCCTTCTATCAATCCTTCACGTCCACCACCAGGAGCCCAAATCAGCCCCCCAAGGCCTCCACATATTGCGATTGACCCTCCGCGTCCTCCTATCAATCCTTCACGTCCACCACCAGGAGCCCAAATCAGCCCCCCAAGGCCTCCACATATTGCGATTGAGCCTCCGCGTCCTCCCATCAATCCATCACGTCCACCACCAGGGGCTCAGATCAGTCCGCCGAGACCTCCTCCTAGACCATCAATTTCAGGACGTCCACCACCACCCCTTTTTGGTTAAGCTGCACCTCTCCTGTGGCAATGGCGCCGTTCTATGTCATCGATATTTCAAGTTTCAGTTTTGTCAAGTTAACACCGTGCTATAAATTAGTTTCTCAGTGATCGGAACGAAGAAAGACGGGACTTTGGAATTCTGGCAACTTCCATTAGTAAGAAATGCTTTCAGGATAAGGCTCTGGGATCTTAGTTAAAGCCAATTTTCCTAAAAAACGAGGTTGGTACATCTAATTTTGGCTAAAATGGAGATTTGCCGCGCTATCGATGAAATTCATCCACCAGCTATTCTAGGCTCGAACTAGTTTCTCCGGTTCTTGACGTAAACTACCAGCTAATTCTACTTCTCAAGAGCTAAATTTGCTTTTTCAAACTGCTACAAGTTTGAAATACAAAAGCCAGGAAGTGTTAGCGGCTTTTTTCTGCCAGAGATACCCAAAATTTTTACGTTGTATAATGTTTCTGCTAAATTCGGGAAGCAACGGTCCTTTACGGCAAACAAATATATTATCTCCGCTATCGAAAGAAGGATACTGTAAGCAACAATTGTAAGCACCCGGAAGAATATAAACTGTTGTTCGGACGACTTTCAGAGAAGTGAAAGACCTTAAATAACTTAAA